TGGAAGGTAAATGCTGCTTCAGGAAAGCCGGCATTTTAACTCTCCCGTCCCGAGAGCGCTGGTGCCCTGTCTTTGCCCTGCACGACTCCTCTCTTCTTCTCCACAGCCCGAGGACACCAAGTGGGGGGTTTGAGGAAACCAGTATTAACGTAAAGTTACACCCTTAGTAAGCTCGAAGCCAGTAAAGTGATCACCCAACTCCCGCAACTTTGGAGGCTTTGGAAGCCTTAGAATGGGGGGAGGGGCAGGAGATTTGGGAGCGAATCCTCTAACGCACCGCGCGTCCCGCTTTCCCCCCTACTTGCCTCAGTCTTCCAGCGTGCAGTGGTGGCGCTACCAGCGCTCCGGGACTTGCAGCAGCGCCGCGCGCCAGGCTGCCGCTCCTCAGCCCGGCCTGGTCCTGGCCCGGCCGGTCCCAGCGTACTCACCTTGGTCAGGGCCTGCCAGGGCGCGCACTTGGATCTCGGGTCCCCCAGCCGCCCCGTCGGAAGGGCAGCCGCGGGCCCAAAGGGGCCTCCAGGGGCGCGGAGGACGCAGGGTGCGGGGCAGGGCGCGCAGCATCGGGGCGCAGGTCGTGAAGGCGCTGCTCTGCGGGTCGGCTGCCGTCTCTCCAGCTGAGAGCTGGTAGCTCGATGAGGCCTTGGAAATTGCTCCACCTATGGGCCGATATAGGAGCCCTGGTGGTACAGTGGTTAAAGCCCTTGGCTGCTAACTGAAAGATCTGCGGTTGGAACCCACCAGCCACTCCGTGGGAAAAAGATGTGGCAGTATGCTTCCGTAACGATTACAGCCTAGGAAACCTGATGGAGCAGTGCTACTCTGCCCTGTGGGGTCGCTTTGAGTCAGAATCAACAATGGCAAACAGCAACCGGTAATAGTGCTTCATGGTGTTATGAGGATTAAATGAGGTGTGTGAACTTGCCTACACATATAATGTTGTTAGGTGCCATGGTTTGCATGGTTTGGGTCAAGTACTCCCTAGTCATCAAAGTGACGTTTTTCACACTTTAAAGAGGTCTTTTGCAGTAGATACACCCTATGCGCTATGTCATTTGATTTCTTGACTGCTGCTTCCGTGGGCATTGACTGCTGATCCAAGAAGAAAATCCATGACAACTTCAGTTTCATGAAGTTGTTTACTGGTCCAGTTTTAAGAATTTTTGTTTTCTTTATGTTCAGATGTAATACATAGGGAAGGCTGTAGTCCTTTACCTTTATCAAGAAGTGCTTCAAGTCATCTTCACTTTCAGTGAGCAAGGTTGTGCCATCAGCACATCTCAGGTTGTTAATAAATCTTCCTCCAATCCTGATGCAGCATTCTTCACATAGCCCAGGTTCTCTGATTATCAGTTCAGCACATAGACTGAATAAGTAAGGTAAAGGATACAACCCTGCTGGACACCTTTTCCAATTTTAAACCATGCAGTATCCCCTTGTTCTGTTCCAACAACTGCCTCTTGATCCATATACAGGTTACGCATGAGCACAATTAAGTGTTCTGAAATTTCCATTCTTCACAACATTATCCATATGCTCAGAAAGGTTAAGTAACTTTCCCAAGAACAAACAGCTAGCAAGTGCTGGGTTTAGATTTGATTTCAAGAAGTTTGATTCCATAAACTTCTGAAACCACTGCTATATTGCCTCTTAAAATGAGATAATACATGTTAATTACTTAGCACCATGCCTGCTTCATAGTAAATATTGAATTATCAGTTGTCGTTGTTGTTGTTAGGTGCCGTCAAGTCAGTTCCGACTCATGGCGACCCTGTGTACAACAGAATGAAACACTGCCTTGTCCTGTGCCATCTTCACAGTCGTTGTTATGCTTGAGCCCATTGTTGCAGCCACTGTGTCAGTCCAACCTGTTGAGGGTCTTCCTCTTTTTCATTGACCCTCTAGCAAGCATTATGTCCTTCTCCAGGGACTGGTCCCTCCTGATAACACATCCAAAGTATGTGAGACGAAGTCTCATCGTCCTTGCTTCCAAGGAGCGTTCTGGCTGTACTTCTTCCAAGACATATTTGTTCATTCTTCTGGCAGTCCATGGTATATTCAGTATTCTTTGTCAACACCATAATTCAAAGGCATCAATTCTTCTTTGGTCTTCCTTATTCATTGTTCAGCTTTCACATGCATACGAAGCAACTGAAAACACCATGGCTTGGGTCAGGCGCACCTTAGACCTTGAAGAGACTGCTTTTTAACACTTTAAAGAGCTCTTTTGCAGCAGATTTGCACAGTGCAACGCGTTCTTTGATTTTTTGGCTGCTGCTTCCATGAGCATTGATTGTGGATCCAAGTAAAATGAAATCCTTTACACCTTCAATATTTTCACCATTTATCATGATGTTCCCCAATGCATCTGTCAGCATAAAGAAAACAAAAACCTTCACAACTGGACTAATAAGCAACATCATGATTATCTGGGGTTTATATCAGTCCTGGTCATCTCTGATCCCACACCCCTACTTCAAATGAATTAATTCAGATTATGGATCATCTGGCCATCCTTCCATGTTTCTTTTCCATCACTTACTCCAATTCCTTTACTCCCCAAAGAAACAGACAGGAGGCCACATATGATAGATTTTTACTGAAGGCTCATCTGCAGAGCTTCACCTCTCCTACTTAAAGAGGCTAGTGCTAAATAAAAGAAGCTCTTTTCGTAAGAGGAAATCTAGTGCTTGGTTTTTAAAATAAGAGTTTTTCCCCTGCACCGCTAACTGCACTAAGCAAGGGGCAAGGTGGGCAAACCCCACCTTTATCACTAACCGTGTGGTAAGAATCAGCATGAATACAATTCCTACCTGGAAGTGTACCCAGGCTTCACCTTCCCACATCTCCATTTCTTGCTGTCAGCCGCTTTCGTGGCATTCCTTTTTCTGACCCTAACACCTAGAGTTAGGTCAGACTTCATTCTTGGCCATCCTGAACCAGGTCAAAACATCCCTAGCCACCTGAGGTCAGATCTTTGGGTACCAGCTGTGGGCTCAGGAGTCCATATAGCTCCTTGCACTTCAGACCAGCTACTCCCTCCCCCAGCCCCCTGGATCTAGGACACAAGCTAGAAGGACTCTATCTTCTTCACTGACTGACTGGGCAGCCTCTCTCTCTCACCCAGCCACCCAGAGCTGGTCTTTCACTAGTTAGGACTCTATTCTTAGGACTGCCTTGCAGCCCTTCTCTAAATTGGCCAGTCCAGGCTAAGTCAGAGTCTCATTGCCACTTGTGGGTTTGTTAATTCTCTACAACCACTTACAAAATTCATGGAGACTATTACCTATACTTATAATTACCTGTTTATTATAACCAGAAAGAATACAAATGAAGAAATGCATTAGTCAAGCTCTGGGAGAGGTCCTGGTACGAGGCTTCTTCCATTGTCTCCAGGGATGTGGCATCCTCTCCCATACATGGAGGTTCTCATCAATCCTGGCAGACCCAATAAAGGAAGCTCAAGTCCAGGGTGCCTTATATAATAGTTATTGAAGCATCAATGCATACACATGACTGAGTCCTTAATGCATATGCATGAAACCGTGAATATGTATGATTGACTGCATCATGCAAGCCTCCCTCCCTGAGGTTCCTTGCCAGGTGATGAGTTGGGTCTCCCAACTTATTTGCACATGTTAAAGTATCAAAAACAAAGATACTGATTGCTCAAAAAATTCCAAAGGCTACTTTCCTGAAACCAGAGACAAAGGCCAAACTGAGTTCTTTGTCTCACACCCCCTTTCTCTACATTATTATTGTCTCTGGGACTCTAAGGGGACTTAGCAAAGGAGCAAGACAAGAATGGGACAAGAATAGCAGTAACAGTGTGGCCATAGATAATAAAAGCATTTTTCTCCTGTTTTAAATTCTGTTGGTTTTAAGGAGAAATAATCCCTCAGTATTCTCTTCTAAACTATCATATGAATTAAAAACAAACTATTGTTTTAGTTATAAGAGCAAATACAAGTAAAGCATTCACATTACTGTTGGGAATGTCTTCAATGGAGAGAAATACGACAATATCTGCCAGAATTATAAATGCACCTCCTCTTTTACTTAAAAATTCCATTTTTAGGAATTTAACCTATAGATATACTCCTAAGCATACAAAGTGTAAAGGCTTATCAATGCAGCACTGTTTATAATAGCAAAGGACTGGAAACAACCTAAATATCCAGCACTATACAGTTAGTTAAATAAATTATGGTACATTAATAAATTGAACACTATAAAGCTATGAAAAATACATGGGAAGCTCTTTAGGCACTGATATGAAATAATCTCCATGATCCATTATTATATGAAAAAAGATGCAGAGTAGTGTGTAAAGAAAGCTAAAATTTGTGTTTAAAAGGGAATAACGTTACTTAGGTATGTACACATATATTTGATTGAATTTACATAAAATGTCTCTGGAAAGGTACATAGGAAACAAAATGAGTTACTTCCAGGGAGGGGAGCTGGAAGGCTAGGGAGTAGGGGTTGGAGGGAGAATTTTCAGGCTGCCCTTTTGTATCTTTTGAATCTTGATTCACGTGAGTGTATTACCTACTCAACAAGTAAATAATTAAAATGAAAACAAAACAACAATGACAAAAAATTAAAGACTTGATATAAAAAACCATTGCTATCGAGTCTAATTCCGACTCAGCAATCCTATAGGACAGAGTAGATCTGCCCTGTGTGGTTTCCAAGGCTGCAGTCTTTACTGAAGCAGACTGCCACATCTTTCTCCAGCAGAGTGGCTAGTGGGTTCAAATCACGAACCTTTCGGTTAGCAGCCGAGCACTTAACCACTGCCCCACCTGGGCTCCTACGATATGATATAGTAAATATAAAACAGAAAAGTAATACAGGAACAAAGTCAAAACATTCAAACAGTACCAAAAAAAACCCAAACCCATTGCTGTGGAGTCAATTCTGACTCATGGCAACCCCATCTGCTATAGAGTAGAACCCTATAGGGCCGTTCTACTCTGTCACATGGGATCACTATGAATCGAAATCGACTTCACAGTACCTAACAACAACAATCTTTACGGAAGCACTAACCTTTTGGCTAGTAGTAGAGCACAAACCATTTGTGCCACCCAAGGACCTTTCAAACAGTACTTTTGTCATTGGGTCTGTCAAGTTGATTTCAACTTATAGCGACCCATGTAACAGAAGAACTGCCCCATTGGGTTTTCTAGGCTGTAATCTTTATGGGGGAACCCTGATGGCTCAGTGGTCAAGAGCTATGGCTGCTAATCAAAAGGTCGACAGTTTGAATCCAGCTCCTTGGAAACCCTATGGGGCCGTTCTACTCTGTCCTGTAGGGTCACTATAAATCAACTCGAGGGCAACAAGTTTGGTTGTTGGTTTTAAATCTTTATGAGGAAGGATTTAACCCTGGTGGTGCAGTGGTTAAAGCGCTCGGCTGCCGACCATAAGGTCGACGATTCGAACCCACCAGCTGCTCTTTGAGAGAAAGATGTGCAGTCTGCCTCCCTAAAGATTTACAGCATTGGAAACCCTAT